ACCTTCTGTAGCTCTTCTTCAGCCTTTTTCCTTTGTCCTAAGAAAAGGGCACTTATATTCTAGATCACTCATTTAAACTCTGAACTCTGATGCTTTAAGCCTCTATGTCTCTGTACGTACTGTGTTCTCTGCCTGATAACCCTGCATCTCTTCCCCGCAAACTAATTCATCTTTCAGAGCCCTCTTACTTTTGAAGTGCACCTTAATCTTTTTTTTTTTTTAAGATTTTATTTATTTATTTAACAGAGACAGACAGCCAGAGAGGGAATACAAGCTGGGGAAGTGGAGAGGGAGAAGCAGGCTTCCCGCCAAGCAGGGAGCCCGATGTGGGGCTCGATCCCAGGACCCTGGGGATCCTGACCCGAGCCGAAGGCAGACGCTTAACCGTCTGAGCCACCCAGGAGCCCAAAGTGCACCTTAATCTTCCCAGGAAAAGATTTTTAATTTTTATTTCCTCTCCAATTATGAAGGTAGTGTATTTTCAAAATTTCAGTTTTCATGGTAAAAAAAAAAAAAGTTTTGATAATAAAAACCCCCTGATATCTCACTCCTTAGTCCTAGGCATGTCCACCTGTGTCCTCGTTTTGTACACAGATCCACTAGAATCACTTCATGCTCTTTAAGGTAACTGTTGGACATAGGCCTTCGGTGCCAACTGATTATCCCTGGGGTAGAGTAAAGCCTGGAACGTAGGAGACAACCAATAGAACTGAAGGAATGAAAAGAAGAGGACTAAGGCAATGCAATCACTGCTGATCTGATTTTCGTAGAACTGGGATTGGTACTGCTGTAAGTCAGTCAGAGGAATCCTCTTAATAGATGTTGACTACCAGACAGATCACACACACACAAAAAATTACATGACTCCCTTTCTCTCTGTCCTATTCCCACTGTGTGCATTATTGTACACCCCCTTTCTTCTTCTCAATGTCTAAGAAATAAGTCAATGAGAAAATTCCTTCAGGATGTTCATAATCCCCTGGTGTGGGAACGTAACAGAGTCTACTCCAGTAGCCATCTGCCTCTTTATAGATGATCTCACTGTCCTACGGTTTTGTGTCATCAGTGCAAAAAAGGACAATATTCCCTCTGCTTACTACACAGAGTTGTTGTTAGGATCAAATATGAATGTATTCTATGAAATAGAAACGTAAGATTAAGATGGCAGCCAGTCTCTCTGATGGCCCCAATGACCTCTGCCTCCTGGTATTCATACCCTTGTCTAGTACCTTCCACACTGTAACAGAGTTGGTCCACGTGACCAACAGACCCATGAAGTGCTGGTGTGCCCCTTCTGAGATAAAGTTATAAAAGAAACTATGGCTTCCATCATGGTGGAGTCCTATTCACTCTACCACCTCATCTCTCCCCGTATCTCTGCCTCCTTCTCTCCTCAGTCTGTGCGAAAGCCAGCTGCCATGACAAGAATGGAGAGGAACTGAAGCCTCTGGCCAATAACCACAGAGTGTGCCTGGAAGGGGATCTTCCCATCCCGGATGAACCTTACAATTTCAACTCTAGGTGACAGCTTGACAGCAACCTCATGAAAGACCCTGAGCCAGAACCATCTGAGCCATTCTTGCACTCTTAACCCCGAGAAGCAGGGTGAAATAACTGTGTTGTTTAAAGCTGCTAAGTTTGGGGTAATTTGTTACACAGCAACAGGTAACATATTGGTGGTATTATTATTTCCCAGTCACATTTATACAGCTTCCAAAGGTAACATTAAAATAAAACAGTGGCTTTCTAAATTACCATCTAGAACCAAGAGACCATGTGGTACAATCTGCCTTGATACCTGGTAAGAAAGATGTCTTCCACTTCTACATTACTTTTCAAATTCAACCTTCTCCCTACCAACAGTGATTACCCAAGGTCACATAAAACTGGTCATATTCTTCCCTACAGCTCCTGCCATTCTGGACCAGTTGTTAGACCTCTTTTGAAAGCAGTTCATATTTCCTTCTCTACCCTTATTCACTTATGCTCTCTTAATTTTGTCTCTGCATTTTCTAATCAAAACATAATTTAATATTTGTTCTGTAAGCCAAAGGTTGGTCTTATTTACTTCCTATAAATCTGTGTTGCTTAGCATCTTTTTAGAAATGACTAACAGTGGGTCAATTTCAATACTGTTTACCCAAGGAAAAACACTTAATTTCCAGTAGAGCCCCAAAACAATTTCTTCCAAATCTAGCAAATTTATCCATCTTTCAGAATACATTATCTAAAAAGTACACATGCTATTTGATAATCAGTGGCTTCATGTGTAGGGATAAGGGAAGACCTAACGAAGGCTCATGAATCTGTACTAAGACACAAAGAGAACTAGAGGGTGCTAAAACTCATCGGTTAGTTTATTATGCTAACTATGACTATAATACAGATAAACTTTTGCTTTGCTCATTTTTATAGCTCTTACATATTTTAAGACATCAATATACTTTCCCTTCATAAAAGAGAAACAAGCCTGAGTGAAAAAGATACAAACTAACAAAGTGTTTTCCATCAGAATATGTCTTAATTTAAAATACTCAGATAGCCCAGTAATACGGTTTAGCATATCCAAGCTAGAACATATATTCAGAGTTGTAAAAGACAGGGAGAGATTAATTGGCCGTACTCCCTATTTAATGTGTCTGTAGTAAAACAGGGAAATAACAATGTCTGTTTTACAAAAGTAAACTCTGAATTTAAGCCTCAAGAAGAGAATCAAGATAAATATATTTTTAATCCCTGCCCAAGTGAAGGAAATGGTAGGTTTATTACCTTAGACATAAATATACAAATGATGTAGGTGTTATTTCTTTAGAGACCTTCAGTTAAGAAAGATGTTTTCTGTTTTGTTTTTTTTTTTTAAAGATTTTATTTATTTATTTGAGAGACAGAGATCACAAGTAGGCAGAGAGGGGGAAGCAGGCTCCCTGCCAAGCAGAGAGCCCGATGCGGGGCTCAATCCCAGGACCCTGGAATCATGACCTGAGCCGAAGGCAGAGGTTTTAACCCACCGAACCACCCAGGTGCCCCGAAAGATGTTTTTATTTAGAACTACACAGTATTATGCTGAGCAAAATAAGTCAATCAGAGAAAGACAATTATCATATGATCTCTCTGATAAGAGGAATTTGAAAGTCAGGGCAAGGGGCTTGGGGGGTAAGGAAGGAAAAAATGAAACAAAATGGGATCGGGAGGGAGACAAACCATAAGAGACTCTTAATTTCACAAAACAAACTGAGGGTTGCTGGAGGGAGTGTGGGTATGGAGAGAGGGTGGTTGGGTTATGGACATTGGAGAGGGTATGTGCTATGGTGAGTGCTGTGAAGTGTGTAATTCATAGACAATTCATAGACCTGTACCCTTGGGGCAAATAATACATTACATGTTAATAAAAATAATTAATTAAAAAATGCTTTTATTTAAAGATACCTGAAAATAAGGTTGAACTTACAATATCAAATATATGAATACAAGTCTTTCAATAACTTGACAGAGAAAATATTCAGCGTAATAGAACCATGAGAACAATCTTTGCGGATAAAATACTACTTGTGGGAAAAGGCAAAAAATACTAGGAGAAGTAGAGCCAAGACTGTAGAAAGCCTCTTTGCAGGGAAGCACACCAGAACGCAGTTGGAAAAATGCTTGAGTGGCAGTGAATGCACAGTAGGACAGAGTCAGAGAAAAGAAGAACTGAATGTGGTAAGATGGAAAGAAAGAATGAAATAGGAAAGATGGGAGGAAAGAGTGTTAAGGGGAGGGGAGGGAGGTGGCTGGACCTGCCTCTAGTCCATAGGTTACTGTGTACAATTTGAAAAAGGATGCTCCTCAAAGAGGAAACAGAGCCACACAAAGATGCACAGTTTGGTTAACAACGTTGGGGCTAGATTTCAGCCCCTACTTCCTCCCTTGGCTAGGCCACTTTATTCAGTGAACAACCTGTATAACTGTACAAAACAGTCCTGGAAAAGAAGGAAAGACCAACCCTGACAAAGAATGAGGCAGGCATTTATTTTCCTATGCTGAAGTGCAGATGAATTCCTACAGAGCTATATACAAAATCAGATTTTGTCATCTTTTCTCACCGTTTTACACCTGCATTTGGAATTGTGTTCTAAGAAGAAACATTTCAGCTTAAGACATGGCTGCTACATGATTAGGGAATTTAAGGAAGTCTGGTACTTCTACCCATGTAAGGACAGATGTACCTGCCCTCGGGCTGGTGCCAAAGATCTGTGTACACAGTTCCTTACTGCCTGCATGTTTGGCTTTGCCGGGGCTCCTGCGGCTCACAGTCCTAGGGGCATCGTTGCTCACTGATAATAAAAGGGTAACAGGTGTCTCCAGCTGAATGTCCAAACTGAGAGTAAAGAGTACAGTTTCTTCAAAATGCTCCTTTGCAGAAGACATTTATCAACACCTGCTCTCAGCTACTTGTTAAAATGCAGACTCCTGGGCTCACTCTATCTCAGACCTATTGAAGCAGAACTTCTGGAAGAGAGGCCAGAACTCTGTGTTTTAAACAATGGACATCAAAGCTGGAAAACTACTATTTAAGAGGAATGTAAAATATGACAAATTTCTGTGTGGAGATTTAAAAAAAAAAAAAAAAGCAACAAAGAGAATCAGGCCTAGCCTATGAAGTACAAACCATATATGCCTTCCTCACCAGATTTATAAGATTCAAAATCTCTAGAATTACAAATTCTTAAAGTCATAGACAAACGCATAGATAGTTCCTGTGGTCTAATTATAGATGTTATTCTGAAATTAGGTTATAATGACACTTCAGGTGTTGAGTTGCTATCCTGACAGAAAAGCTCATTTGTTTTGAGAAATTTCATACTGGATGACTGACTAGAGAAGTTAGTCTAGACATCACTCCCTATCTCCATGTGCCAAACCTAGGCATCTGCTGATCAATCTTAGTTGATCAACTGTTTGTTCTTTTTTAACAGCACCTTGAGTGGGTGACAGAAAAATAACTGGAACAAATCTCTTACCGCTGTGAGGGGTCCTTCTGCTTGCGCCTCCATGGGACTCGTGGGTGTCACTGCAGCAAACTGGCCGGCAGTCCCCGCCTGGAGTTCCAGCCGATCCATATACTGTTCCGAGGCAGCGGTGGCAGGGCATTCCCCAGAAAGTGCTAAGACCACACCTGAGGGTTCTTTCTGTAAGTGATTGCTTTCTGCCCAAGGACCCAGCAGGAGCTTCTCATCTTGAGGTGATTCCTCTAGGACTTGAAGGACTTCAGGCTCCTCATCAGAAGGGCTTCCAGTTGTTTTATGACCTAAAGCCTCATTTGTCCTAAAATCCCGAAGGTCCTGCTCCTTGTCCACAATCACCCATTCTTTGGAATCAACCTCCTGCTTGCAGGAGCTCAAGTTAACTGCTATAAATCCATTGCTGGCACCGCCATCTGCCTGTTCAGGGGTGTTGGCAGAGGCAGGCTTTGAAGCATCTGGAAGATATTCCTCATCATAGTGCCAGATGTGGTCAGTACGGGACACGGCGGGAACACAAGGCTTATGAAGCAGAGAAGGGAGAACAGATTCCTTGCCTGCACTGGAATCTTTCTGCATTTTCTCCAGGCTTAAAAAAACAGAGAGAAGTTACTCAACTGCTCTAGGAAAATATGTATTATATAACCTATAAGCTCTATACAAAACTAAGATTCACACACGGAGGAGAGAATAATATATAAATAAAGCATGAGGAAAATTTCACAGGCCGCTAATGTTCTTCTCCACCTGTCATAACTGGATTTTGGAAGATGGAACCCATGGGGGAAAGACGGCTCTCCTGCTGCAGGGCAGGGGACAAGCCTAATCAGGTTGACTTATGGGATCTCGTTCACCTTTTCTAACCAATTCAATCACATGGCTCTCTGCTCTCTGTGGGGGACTGAGGCAGAGCTGAGCCAAGGGGATTTTGCCTCATCAGAAGCCCTACAAAAGGAAATGAAGAAGCTAGTATAGGAAAGGAAATGGAGAAGCTAGGCAGATGCTTTATGTGTTTTGTCTTCAGAGATGTACGTAAATGTAGACTCATTCAAGGGAACTTCAAAGGCAGAACTTTTAAGAAGAGCCACTACACCTGCTCAAGCAGGCGCAGCCCACTATGTACACGTGGGGCACCCAGTGTTGGGGGGTGTGGATGTGGCGTGGGGGAAGCTTCAAGGTATACTGCCTGTTCAGGTGGCTTAGAAGGCAGTCAACATGGTATATGAACCTCTGCTACCTGAGGGTCAGGCGACAGTGTGACCATTCAGCTGCACTTGCTTCTACGAACCGTTCTCTGCTTCAGGGTAGCAGTTTAAGGGATATGTTTCTTCCTTTCCAAGTTTGTAATTAGGTGCTTCAGTTCCTTCAATGGTTTCCTACTCATTCTAGGTTCTGGCCTGAGTTCATTTTCTTAGATTACTTCTCTTTTCTCAACTCATTTCTCAGCTCTTCCCACAGCAGGGACTCTCTTTTTAGTTCTGTTCTTTTATTAAACTAATTCTTTACCAAACTAAGCTTTTATCCCTATTGCATTTATATAGTTATTTCTAACATTAGCTGCTACTTGAAATGTTTAAGCACTGCCCCAACTCAAATTCATCCTTTTGATCACATCAATGTATAAACAGAAGCTGCTTCTTTTTTTTTTAAGAGATTTTATTTTTATTTATTTATTTGAGAGAGAGAGAGAGAACATGAGAGGGGAGGGCAAGGGGAGAAGCAAGCTCCCCGCTGAGCAGGGAGCCCGATGCAGGACTTGATCCTGGGATTCCAGGATCATGACCTGAGCTAAAGGTAGTCATTTAACCAACTGAGCCACGCAAGTGCCCTATAAACAGAAGCTTCTATTACATAGGTGTGAGGCTGAACGATTGCCATGGAAGAAAGAACACACATATATGAAGGACTGTCAAAAATGGAAGCTAGATTAGAATAGGCTGAATTATCTTTGTTCACAGTAACTACCATGTCAATCAAATACGTGGTCTTTCTCACCTAACATCTCATTACCAAAAGCAGCCAGCCACCAGTGATGTACATTGAAGGGTATGACTATCACTAGTCACTCGGCTCTTAATATTACTGCAGCCTCTGTAATTCATAAACATATCCAAATTCTTTTTAAAGTTTCATTTCTGTCTTCTGTTATCAAAATTTGGGGATAATGGGACTTATAAACATGAACTAGAGTTATTACCTATGCATAGTTCTCCAAAGTTCCACTGTTCCTTCTTTCCAGGAAGAATGATAAACTTATTTGTGTCTATTTTTCCTACAGTACTTATTCATAAAAGGCATTCATTAAAGTGAATTTAACTGCCTGTCCCTTGTGTATAAATTACTTGTTTCCCTCCTTCACATGCTCCCCTCCTTCCTGTATCATGCCTTCTTTATCACGTGCTCTCCAACTCTACATTGCATTTTCTCATTCCAATGAAAGAGATCCCTTACAAACAAAGCAAAAAGCTCATTTAACTTATGCTGGTGTCATGAAGTTACCAGCTCCCATTGCTCAGCTCCCAAACCCAAAGGTTGTTATAGAACTTGTAACAATTTTATAAGACAATTCACATTAGGAATCACAATGATAATTAAAAACATGGATGGAGATGAGAACTTAAATCAGTACTACAAAAATGCAAAATTTTCTTATTTGAAAGAATAATAGAATTCATAATGATGATAATGATAATGGTAATTATATATCTTAGTAGCTTTAAAAAAAAGAAAAATTATTTTATACCAGGTCTCAAGAAACTTGTCCGTATCTGGCTTTGACTCCAGTGTCAGACGTTTTTCCAGCTCAAAGCTGTGGATGGAGCGTAACTTCCGCACCAATGGAACATCTCTGTCTGGCTGAGTAATCTCGGAGCGGACACGAATTGGGGAACCAAGGCTTGGAGCATTCAGAATACCGTTTACTTGACCGTGGCTATTCTCTTCCTCGGTAGCAGCCTAGACAAAATATAAAAGAAAACCATGAAAAACATTCAGGTGACTGTATGTGTAGCAATCACTGAAGTCTTTCAAAATAATAAATGCAAATGCTTGGGAGGTGTTTTCAGAAATAAGGTATTCTGGATAGCGACATCATTACATACTTGTCTACTAACCCTTCATAAAGCGAGTTTTCTTAATTTATTCTCAGTTCAGTATTATTCCAGTTTTTTATATTTGGGGTACAAAGATAAACAGTCTAAAAATGTTTACCCACCTTGACTTTTTGTATCCTGTCTAATGAAATACTTGCAGGACTCCATTCCACTAAACTAAAAATAAAACCTGGAAAGGACATTTTCTTGGAGACATAAGTGGTCTCACAAGAGGTAGGATGGGTCAACCAAGCTTGAATATCCCCTTGTTCCCTCTCTAAAAAACAAGTGAAAAACCAAACAAAAACAAGAAAACCTGAAACTAGAACAAAAAAGAGCTGGGCAGAGCAGAAGGAGGTTGAACATGACACAGCTCAGAGCAGTGGGGCTGCCTAAGGACAGATGCCCAGAGTAGTACACTTACCAGAGAAATTAAACCTGACCCCAGTACTGGGGTGAGAGAGGGAAGTCTGGTATGTCCATTCTGATTAGAGACCCACAGAAGATACCCAGTTGGTCTCAGACTGGGGGTCTACTCTGGCTACTAGCAGAAGCAGAAGACAATCTCTGAAGGAAGGCTTCCCAATCCCCAATTTAGGTTTACAGGATTGCCATCAATTATTAACTAATAAGTAAAACACTAAAGATAGTCAAACACACAAGAAGGCATGCCACCATGACTAAGAGCAGAAATAATAACTTTTAGAAAAACATTTAAAACTCCCTAAGATATGAGGGGCACCTGGGTGAGACAGTCAGTTTAGCATCCGACTTGGTTTCAACTCAGGTTGTGATCTCAGGGTGGTGAGATTGAGCCCCATGTCAGCTCTGCACTCAGCATGGAATCTGCTTAGGTTTCTCTCTCTGTCTCTGCCTTTTCCCTCCTCTTTCTCTCTCTTATTTTTAAAGATTTATTTATTTGAGAGAATCTTCCAAAGATACCAGATATTAAACTTGTTAAGATACAGAATACAGAACTGTTATGCATCAAATGTTTAAATAAATAAAGGTCATTATCACAAAGATCAATAAGGGATTGTTTGAGATTAACTGATGAATTTAATATTAAATATTCAATTAACAAGTTAAACATCAAATTACCCAGAAAAAGACAAAGTTATTAACCAGTGAACTAGAAGACATAGCAAAAGAAATTACCTAGAATGGAGCACTGCAAGGAGAAAAAAAATACTGAAAAAAAAAAATTAAATTATATAACAGAATGAAAAAGCGTACGTTCACTTGGAGTCCCAGGATGAGAGAATGAAAAGAATGAATTAGTGGAAATATTTTGGTAGGAAATAGCTGTACATCTCCTAGAAATGATATGAAACTATGAATCAAAGATTCAGGAAATATAAGCTATCCTAAGCAGGATAAATAGAAATGTAAGCCTATGCACACTCTAGATAAAATGCAGAACACCAAAGACAAAAAGAAAAGTTAAAAAGCAGCTGGGGTAACAAAGACAGAGAGCAATGGACCATCTACAAAGAAAAAAAAAGTAAGTAACAGACTTCTGAACACCAATAATTGAATCCAGAGGAAAAATAACTGTCAGTCAAAAACTCTGAACCTAGTATAAACTCTCTTTAAAGAATGATGCTGGGCAACCCCCTCAGGTCCCCTCCCTCCTTGGAAGCTTTGTACTATCATTTTGCTATCATTCAATAAACCTTGCACTGATGCCCACGAAGAAAAAAAAAAGAATGATGCTAAAATAAATACATTTACAACTAAGTAAAAATTGAGAGAGTCCCCAAAGACCTCAACTAAAGGAACTTCTAATGGAAATACTTCAAGAAGAAAGAAGACAAGTCCAGGACTTTCAAAAATGCAAGGATATAGTAAACATCTTTGAAAAATCCAGACAAATATCACTGATATTAAAACAAAACAGTAGCCAAAACAAAACAAAACAAAACAAAAAAACAATACCAGAGTATCTGGACGGCTTGGTTGTTTAAGTGTCCGACTCTTTGTTTTGGCTCAGGTCATGATCTTGGGGTCGAAAGACCAAGCCCTACGTAGGTGTCTGAGTGGCTCAGTCAGTTAAGCTGTCTGCCTTCAGCTCAGGTCATGATCCCGAGATTCTGGGGATCAAGTCCCACATCGGGCTTCCTGCTCAGTGGAGAGTCTGCTTCTCCCTATGCTTCTCCCTCTGCCTCTCCCTCTCTTCCTCTCTCTCAAATAAATTAAAAAATCTTTAAAAAAAAATTAAAGGAAGGAATTAACAAGTAGAAGAGAACTAAATACAGGTTAAATTGTGATGATGGGTGAAAGATAGAAACTAAATAAGTCATCCCCATGTCAAGTGCCATTTCACAGTACCATACACACAGAGATACTCATGTGGGCTGGCAACTGAGAATGTCACAAAAGGATTTTTTACTGTAAGAACAGTTTCTGCTTCTGGTGCAATAAAGACAGTTACAGTCGACATTATAAAAATCTGACACTGACTTCTTGACTACATTTCACTACCTATTCTTAATTACTATTAGTCCGCACAGGGCTTCTTCTTTTGTCTTTTTTTTTAAATAGTTTATTTTTCTTTTAAAGAATTCTTTTAATTCAAATTTGTTAACATATAGTGTATTATTAGTTTCAGGGGTAGAATTTAGTGACTCATCAGTTGCATATAATACCCAGGTCTCATCACAAGTGCCCTCCTTAATGCTCATCACACAATTACCCCAACCCCCATCCACCTCCTTTCCAGCAACCCTCAGTTTGTTTTTTATAGTTGAGAGTCTCCTATGGTTTGCCTCCTTCTCTGTTTTTATCTTTATTTTATTTTTCCTTCCCTTCCTCTATGTTCATCTTCTGTGTTTCTTAAATTCTATGCAAGAGTGAAATCATCTTGTATTTGTCTTTCTCTGACTGACTTATTTTGCTTAGCATAATACCCTCTAGTTCTATCCACATCATTGCAAATGGCAAGATTTCGTTCTTTTTGATGGCTGAGTAATATTCCATTGCAGATAAACCACATCTCTTTTATCCATTCATCTGTCGATGGACATCTGGGTTCTTTCCATAGTTTGGCTATTGTGGACATTGCTGCTGTAAACATCAGGGTGTATGTGCCCCTCTGAATCACTATTGTTTGTATCCATGCAACTGCTGGGCAGTTCTATTTTAAACTTTTTGAGTTAAACTGTTTTCCTGAGTGACTGCACCAGCTTGCATTCCCACCAGCAGTGCAGGAGGGTTCCAAAGAGGGCTTTTTCAGTAGCCAGACCACAGAGCAGCATGTCATATCTATGCTGAGAATGATTTTACAAAGTGACTTCCATGACTGAATGTATATGCTGTTAATTTTTTTAATTATTAAGTTTAACAATATAGTATGTAACTTGTCTGAAGACAGACTAAGCCCCTCAGAATTGATCATGGAAAATTCTTTCCAAGATACATCTCACAAAGCACAACTAGCCAACTTTCTATCAACGATGTTAACAGGTATGAGCCCAAAGTCTCATTTTACACCTATAAATTTAACTTCCATCCCAACTAAATCTTTATAAAATCATAAGCAGCACCAAAAGCTAATTGGTTCATAATTCACTGCCCCTCCATTCCCATTTAGCCTCATCTTATCTTCTATGAAAATGGAAATGACAAGGACAGTAAGATCAAAAAGAAATTTGAGTACTAAAGAGTACTGCAAGAGTACTAAAAATTAACCATTTAATTCAGAAATCTGTATCTCTCCCCATACTTAAATATTGGTACTGTTTAGAATCCTAAGGAAGAAAAAATCATGTCAATTATTCAATATCCACTTTATCAGCTTCTGATTAGTTTGGTGCTTTCCATTTCTAGCCCTTATTTCCCCACCTCCACTTAAGACAATTTTCACAACAGGTACTCCTAGCTCCACAGGTCCACACTAAAGAAGGGGCCAAGAGTCTTGTCACATTATTTAGAAAGACTATTAACTTCTGACCTACAGATGTCTCTTCTTTCAGTCTCAGTGTGATTTTTTTTTAAATGCCTTCATCTTTTCCACCAAATACAAGATGAAAATTAATGTTTAGTGTCTGTATCTCACTGTTATGGGCAAAATTAGCCAAGATGTTGTAAATACAAATACATAAATCACTAGTAATACAATTTTCTATCTATTTCTCATCCAAAATTAAGAATCATGATACTTTGTTACAGCAACAGAAGGAAAATATTAAGCACTTAGGAAAGAAACCCCGTCCTATGCAAGAAATACGCACCTTACAAATCCCAAGCTTTATCTTGTTCCTGTTGGCATCCATCTCTTCCCAGACATCCTTCTCCTGGGGACGTGGGTGTCCCAAAGATCCCGGCAATTTATCTGGTGACACACCAACAGGGATGCCATTCTCCCCATCACTAAGCTGTTCATCTGGAAACACCTCATCTGTATTTTCCCGAAGCAAGTCTCCTGGGATGGGAGTGGCATTGGCAATTCTAAAAATGTGGGGTGAAAGAAAGGTAAAACTTTAAAATACCAGAATCAAAGATTACTATGAGACTATCTTACATTTTGCTTCTGAATTTAAATGATCAAGTTTATACATAATTAGAAGAGTAAGACAAAATAAAAACAAAACCTCAGAAACTTAGGCCATGCCAATTTTACAAAATAAAACTATTTTTTTTGAGGGGCGAGGGGCAGAGGAAGAGGGAGAGAGAGAATCTTTTTTTTCTTTTCCCCAGCGTTAACAGTATTTATTGTTTTTGCACCACACCCAGTGCTCCATGCAATCCGTGCCTGGGAGAGAGAGAATCTTAAGCAGGCTCCACAGCCAGTGTGGAGCCCAACGCAGGTCTTGGTCTCATGACCCTGAGATCATGAACTAAGCTGAAGTCAAGAGTCAGATGCTTAACTGCCAGCCACCCAGGTGCCCCCAAACGTCTATTTTTGATGAGGAAAATTTGCAGGATGATCTAAAAATACAAATTTTAATATAATAACTCACTGATTTAAGAATCACTTTAAAAGTAAGAAATATTTGGTCTAGGGGCAGTGGTTGGCTCAGCAGTTTAAGGCCTCTGCCTTCAGCTCAGGTCATGATCTCAGAGTCCTGGGATCGGGCACCCCATCAGGCTCTCTGCTCAGCAGGGAGCCTGCTTCCCTTCCTCTCTCTCTGCCTGCCTCTCTGTCTACTTGTGATCTCTGTCAAATAAATAAATAAAATATTTAAAAATAAATAAATAAAAAAATTTAAAAAAAGAAATATTTGGTCTATTTTCTAATAAGTCTTGTGTCAATTTTAATAATTTCTACTCTTTACCCATTTTTTGCTGAGAGTAACAAAAACTATAAACAGAAAAATGTCAAGTGTCATTATGACATAAGCGGGTATGAGATCAGTTATATATTTTTAATAGTGTAAAATGTACATTTGCTTCTTCATTTACAGACTTTTTACAAGTATCTACTCTATGCAAGGCTCTAGGGACATAAAGAGGAGAAAGGAAATTCTTGCCCTCTGGGTGAACTAGAAATACTGTAATTATACAGAACAATTATACAGAACTGCATGAACTGACCAGCAGCAAAATAAAAAAATATTAATTGACATTTGTCAATATATTTCTTTCAAAGTAATTTCGTGTCCTATTTATATGACTGGTTGTCTCTCCCTCAGAGTTCTGGCTTGTGAGGAGTTTTTTCCAGTTCTGTTATTACTTTTTAAGTGATCAGGTCCCTGTCAGCTTGCATGTTCTGCAACTCTACTTTGTACACTAGTTTGTTTTGCTTTTCAATATTGCTGACTGAACACAATATTTACCACACAGTGAAATCTTTTCTAAGTGATCTGGAATGTCTAAAAGTAGAGAAGAACCAGTTTTCAGTAGACTATACTGACACACACAATTCTTCTGAGTGGGAAAATAGGCATCTTCTCAGTCTACACCTGGCCCACGTGTCATCCATATGTCATGTTGTGAGAACAAAGATCAGTCATTCTTCAGGGACTTGTCCTGCCTGAGCTGATGACCTTCGTTACCATCTCTCCCTATTGGGTCAACAGTAGACGATGAATCTCATCTCGGTATGTTGTAGGTATAATTTAGAAAAGCACTGGTAAGGGGGCACCTGGGTGGCTCAGTGGGTTAAAGCCTCTGTCTTCCGCCCCGGTCATGATCCCAGTGTCCTGGGATCCAGCCCTGCATCGGGCTCTCTGCTCAGCGGGGAGCCTGCTTCCTCCTCTCTCTCTGCCTGCCTCTCTGCCTGCTTGTGATCTCTGTCTGTCAAATAAATAAATAAAATCTTAAAAAAAAGAAAAGAAAAGCACTGATAAGAGCTCCCAGGGAAAAAACCTTACAGCCCTGTAAAACAGTTCTTGTAGTTCTGAAACTGGGAACACACTGAAAAGGGAATTCGAAAAAAAAGAAAAAAAAAAAGGAAAAAAGAAAAGAAAAGGTAGTTTGGCCTAAAATAGTTCCTATGAAAGGGTTTATTCTAAAAGTAACCGAAGTTCAAAGATAAATAAAGTTCATGAAGTTCATAAATAATACTCTCACATATACTTTTGCACTCACTCGACTCCTGAATGTAGGATAATTTTTCTGGGAAGGAATTTCTTTCTTTCCATAGCTCAAACTCCAGATTTGGATCAGAGTTACAGGAGAAGGGAGATAACAGTAATTATGTAAGGAGTAAAAATGGGCAAATAAATGCAGAGAGGAACCTGAGTCATGTGGAAGAGAGCCCGTGTGGGGAAGTGGTGAGAGCCAGTAAGGAGCTCCAAAGATTTTTCAGATAGAAGTTCAATATCCTTTACTGATTGACGCATACAAAGGACACCAACATAGATGTGCTACATGGTAATCCATATGTTTATTGAAAGAATTCCCTTTGTTCATGAGGAAAGGGAGTGACAAAAGAATCAATATCTGAATTCAGTAAGTTCAGTCTACCAGCCCCACATTTTTTCCCATTTTCATCAGTATTCTTCCAAATCCTTTTTTCCCTATGCCTAAGCTACTATTCTGCTTCTTTCCAACTACCCCAGTTCCTTGGCATCTCCTTCTCCTCTCCTGAGGAAACAAAGCACACCTTGACCTATCAACTGCTTCTATTTTTACTCTATCCTGGTTTCCCTCTTCTCTCTGATACTAAACACTTCAAGGGGCTCCCACAGCTTCCCTACATGGGCTCTCTTCCACATGACTCAGGTTCCTCTCTGCATTTATTTGCCCACTTTTACTTCTTACATAATTACTATTTTCTTCCTTCTCCTATAACTCTGATCCAAATCTGGAGTTTGAGATATGGAAAGAAATTCCTTCCTAGAAAAATTATATTACATTTAGGAGTCGAATGAGTGCATATGTATACATGAGAGTATTATTAACACATGGTTTGTGTTGGGTGGTTGCAGGTAAGGTATAAATTACAGAAGCAGATTAAGGAAGAAAAGTAAGGACATGTATAGAAAAATCAGAGAGACATCAAGAAAAGCAGAAAGAATGGACATCCTTTTCACACTCTCTTCCCCACCATCTAAGGCAAGGCTCGCCAACTAGGGCTATGGGCCACATCTGACCTGCTCACCTATTCTTGTCAATCAAGTGGTATGGCAAGAGTCCTGCTCCTTCATTTACACGCTGTCTGTGGCTGCCTTAGCACTAGAAAGGCAGTGGTAGTGAGGACAGAGACAGCACAGCCCACAGATATTTAGGTCTGCTATAGAATCAGTATTTTAATTCAGAGGTCAGCAAATTCATCCACTTCTTAAATGCTAGGCCTGTAGGCCTTATACTTTTCAGGTAGATTCACAGGCAGACTCTAAAACTTGTGGGCAAAATTACGATGAAAAACAAGTTTATTCGAATTGTCTCAAAGTATCTTCCCACAAAATACTTCTTACAAAGTAAAGATAGTAACTTCACAGTGGAGAAACCTAGCTAATATCACCCTAGCCCGATTAACAACATTAATACGATCAGTAATAGGACAAACTGACATTATGTAGCTCCTTATTTAATACCAAGAATTTCCCTCTTTAGTATATGTGCTGCCGAAGCGAGCACAAGAATTTCCCTCTTTAAATGTTTAGCTTTAAATGTTTAAAAAAAAAAAAAAAAGAGTACTTTGATAGGTTTCTAAGTTTCCAGAAGGATGGGCTTTTGACATTTTTGTTCTTGTTGGAAAGTTCTAGTTCTACTGTAGTGTGATCAGATAGTATAATACTTGTGCTTTATGGGTCTACTTATATGCTTTCCTGATGACCTAATAACTGATCAATTTTTATTAATGTTCCAGAGGCAATTTTTATTAATGTTCCAGAAGGCACAAGCTCTATTATCAGGGTGCAGAGTTAAAGATCTATCTTATTGATCCTATTCTTTGTTTATTTCTTATTCTTTGTTCACTTGATCTGTCTTGTACTGAGTTACATAGGATTTCCAATTACTCGTGTGTTTCTAGCTATGCCTCCCTGGATCCTCTGTAGTTTTTGCTTCCTAAAGGTGACTGATGGGATTCTCAGTACTAAATATTAACAAACACCGTATTAAAGGGGCACCTGGGTGGCTTAGTCAGTTAAGCGTCTGCCTTCCAGGGTCCTGGGATCAAGTCCCACATTGGGCTCCCTGCTCAGCAGGAAGCCTGCTTCTCCCTCTCCCACTCCCCCTGCTTGTGTTCCCTCTCTTACTGTGTCTCTGTCAAATAAATAAATAAAAATCTTTTTTAAAAAAATGCTCTTAGTCCCACTTTCTTATTTCACCTTGCCACTGAGTTTCTCAGGTTTCAATGGTATTGTCCTTCAGGGACTCGAACAAGTGCTATCCCTTGTCTGCATTCCATTTGCACTACTTTCTCTCTAGTCCTTTTAAATGATTTTTTTGGGGGGGGGGGAGAAGGGTTAGAAGGTGAGAGAGAATCTTTTTTTTTTTTTAAGGTTTTATTTGTTTGAGAGAGAGAGAGATCACAAGCAGGCAGAGAGGCAGACAGAGAGAGAGGGGAAAGCAGGCTCCCCGCTGAGCAGAGAGCCCTATGCAGGGCTCAATCCCAGGACCCTGAGATCATGACCTGAGCTGAAGGCAGAGGCTTAACCCTCTGAGCCACCCAGGTGCCCTGGTGAGAGAGAATCTTAAGCAGACTCCACACTAAGTGTGGAGGTGGACACAGGGCTCGATCTCACCACCCAGAGATCATGACCTGAGTTGAAATCAAGAGTTAGACACTTAAAGGACTGGGCCACCCAGGCACCCCTTTAGTCCTTTTACATGATTTATTTTCATTCTCTTAGGGCTTTTTTCCCCTTCTGCCTTTATTCAATGCCCTTTATTAAATTTTCATTTGCGTCTATTCTCCTTTGTGCAACTTTATAATTTTTTCACTTCTAAGACATCTTTTTCTTCCATTTGTTTCCCGACCTCAATCAACTCTCATTTGTTCCTCTCTCTTCTCCTTTTCTGTTTTCTCCCAGCCCCCTCTACCTTGTGGTCTATTTCTGTTCTTAGTTTTTAACTTTCTGATTCAAGGTAGTTGTCCTTATCTTTGAATGCACGAGTATATTTGCTTCCATTTGGGGTTTTATTTTATAGTTTTCTTCTTCTTCATGGCTACTTCTCTGAGGGGAAATTTCCTTAGCATGAATTAGATTTTCTCTTCTGATTTTTTTCAGTAACATTGTATGGATCTTTAAAATCTTTCACTTCAAATCTGTTCATTTTTGTGGTATTAGAGTATTTCATGAGATTCGTAGTTTAATTAGTGCCCTCTTCTGTCAATGTGGCAAAGTCCAAACAATTTAGGGCATTTTTATTTGTTTTTATGGTCAGAGAGACACAGTATCCTCTGACTTCATAGTTCTCCCTTTGTAGGCTGTTAAATTTTACTTCCCCTTTGCCCTTCTGTGATTATTGATGTACTGCCTTCAACTTGAAATTCATCTTTTTTGCCAGTTCTATGAAAGTAGATCTGAGCTCTTTAGCTATTTTCCTTTGCCAGCTAGCCCTGGAGCTCTGTCCGTAGAGGGCACTGGAGAGACACTGCAGAAGGAGAGTGCTCTGCTGTGGGTTCCAGTGTGCCGCTTGGCAAGTCTCTCCAGTGTGTGTGGCTCTCCCTGGCACAAGGATCCTGCCACATCCCAGCATCTTCAGCACCTGTCTCTTGCAGCACAAAGACCGCAGCAACCAACAGCTTCCCTGAGCAATTCCCAATATCTAGAAGAAAGTAAATAGCTTTCTCTGCCACCCCAGAGAATAGATTTGCATTAAGTTCCAGAGGGCAGATTTTCAGCAAATTCTACCAGGCATCAGAGTGACTTCCCTGCCATCCAGTAAGCAACGGACATATGCTCTCCGACAAGGTCAGGACTCAGCCCTGGTGCTGGTGGGGCTCAGTCTTGGGATGCTGAATCTCAGCCCCTGGAGTAGGAGCTTTACTTGGTATTTGCTATTCCTGTATTCTCTACTTCCTACTAGTCTATCCCACATTACTCCAGTTCTGTATTATAGCTACTAATTCCTTGTATCATCTTCCCCTGTTCAAATTACTATGCAGTTTCTCTCTCCTGATTGGATCCAAAACATAAATGTTTTTTCCTTCACTGTTCAACTGATAAAAGGCATTTTCTCCTTTCTTTTTTGTCTTTTTTCTTCTTTCTTTCTTCCATAAGCTGTATGTTTTGAATCATGCCTATTTATACCTCTCTGTCTACCTGAACACTTTCTAGTAATTACATTTGTAGGACGGGATTAGTTTTTCTGGTGTTGGCTTAAAATCAACCTTAAGTCCTATTTCAAATTCTCTTCCTCTGCATGGTTTTTATTGATCTGCCTTTATAAAGCCTTGGGGCAGAATTGAGTGAGGCGGGAGCGCGAAAGAGTTGGTGGTTTTGGTTTCTCTTTTTACTTATTTTGGAGTTTAGGCTAGGTATCCTTTATCTTCAAATTATGGTGAGGATGTGGTTTTTGCATAGTTTTATTTCTTCTTTCTCATTATTGCTTTATTTTAGGAGGAAACATTGGGAGATGGGAACTTAAACTGTCTTCACTGACTTCAGTTACCCTGAACTCCTTATCATCTGGATTTCTACAAGTTTGAGACTCACCTACTTCTAACAACAATCAAAGGAGAAGGAGAACAAAGGCATGAAAACAAGAATCAAAATTTTAGAAAGGCTCTAGCTCTGTTGCTAGTATTTACTTAGTGTTGATGAGTCACTCAGCTAGTGTTAGGAGTATCTCATGTGTTTGTTTGTTTTTTAAAAGATTTTATTTATTTATTTTAGTGAGTACTTTTAACAAATCTCTGTGATGATTCTAATCTAGCTAGTCAGGGCCCCTCACTTAAGAACTCTTAGACAAGCTAATCAAGGATATCATACCTAGTTAAACAAGTCCATGTAAGCTTTTCTGATTCGATAAGCTCTAGTGATCCCAACTTTCAATATAAAATCAAACAATGGATTAGTGATAAACTTCCCCAATTATAAGATGATTTTTCTCTATTTACTTTTTTTCTTTGTTACCAACATTTTAAAGCAACCAGAGCAGGTAAAAACAGATGGGGAGGGTGGAGAACGACACCCCCCAATTTATTTAATAACAAACAAAAGCAACTGTATTTAATGCATGAAGAGAAGAAAACAAACAAACACAAGATGATGGAAATACACCATAATCTGTTCCTAATATACTTTGCAAACTAAATCACTTTCATAGAGGAACAAGCTTACATTTTTTGTTCATATTAAACTTAAACACAGTACAGTTAGGTGCAATTGTGGCTCATTCTTTCCAGGTCCCATATATTCTTTAGAAGTAAATGCAAACTGGGGTGCCTGGGTAGCTCAGTTGGTTAAGCACCTGACTCTTAATTTTCAGCTCAGGTCATGATCTCAGGGTCATGGGATAGAGCCCTGCTATTGGCTCAGTGGGCAGTCCACTTGGGATTCTGTCTATCTGTCTACCCCTCCCCTGGCTCGTTCTCTCTCTCAAGTAAATAAATAAATCTTAAAAAAAAAAAAAAAGAAGTAAATGCAAACAATTCCTTCTCATTTTGAAAAGCCACTGTAAATCTGACATCAAGAAATCATACAAGCTTGAAGCTCCCATTTCAAAGTATGATCTATAAATACTTTCTAAGAAAAATAAATGTGAACAAAGACATATATAAAAGCAATGTTAATGCAAGGAAATTCATAGGCTCTCTCCTCTGTCTCAGCATTTTGTCATCTGAAGGGTCTGGAGGAGATAACAGACATCTCTACGAACACAGTGCACCTAAGAAAGCCACTGCTAAATAATCTGCATGGGACATACCCGATGGCCGCGGGGGTCAGGCGGGTGTGCAGCTGAGGGGTGGTAGAAGTAGTGGTGGTGGTCAGGGAACCATCTGTTCCAGTCTTCTCCCAGTCAAAAGGATCACTCTCAATTACTCCAAAGGTCTTGATGCTGTTGTCAAACACGGATGTCAGAAGCTAGACCATAAAGAAAAAAACTAGAGTAAGGTAACAATAAGCATTGTCATTTTATTCTTTAAGAGAAAGCTGCTATGTTCACAAATTAGTTTTGTAGTGGGATTAAAAAAAAAAAACCCAGATGGTACAAATAGGGGAATTTGAAAAAGGACTATATGTAGATGATGATATTGAATTAATACTGATTTTTCTCAGCTGAGGTACTGGTTTATAGTTATATAGGAGAATATCTCTGTTTTTATAAGATATATAATGAAGCATCTTATCTAAAACCTACTTTCAGATGGTGTGGCAAAAGGAAGTTTGTGTTGTATGTGAAAGATATTTATTCAGTTTTAACCATTTAATCTTTTTTTTTTTTGTCAAAAAGGAGTTATTTTTATATGGTTCAGCTTAAATAAGTGAGCAATGTTAACAGCTGTTATATCTAGATTAAGGGGTCTATAGAAGTTCATTGGGCTTTCTTACAGTTCTGAGGGGATTGAAAAATTCTTCAGCTGTATGTGGTATGGGTGTATGTACATATCATCACAAAGAACTCTGCCATTTATTTGGCTTATATTAAATATTTCATTTTTTTGTCTTTTTTTAAAAGATTTTTTTAAAGTAATCTCTCCACCTAACATGGGGCTTGAACTCACAACCCCAAGATCAAGAGTTGCATGCTCTAAGACTGAGCCAGCCAGGTGCCCCTCATTTTCTTGCCTTCAAATTCCAAAACTCGTATTGCATGGAACACTGGGTGTTACACACAAACAATGAATCAAGGAACACTATTATCAAAAACTAATGATGTACCGTATGGTGACTAACATAACATAATAAAAAAATAAAATTAATTTCAAACTCTGATGTGATGTAGATAATGATCTCACAAAAACTGCCCTTTACTGTTTCTGATTTTTAATTTTATGATTATAGCTTCATTCTCTCCTCATCATTTCTCTTACCCTGTTAGCATCCAAGAATAAATAATAATTTAGATTTCTGTCCTGAGCCATTGGGTAATAAATGGTGGTGTCACTTACTGAAAAGGAAAGCAGAGAGTTTGAGGACTAGGACACTGAGAGTTTTAGGGAGTTTAGGGAGGAAAAGGGTATACTACAAACTCAAGAGTCATCAGCATATAGATATGAATAGGTATTATTTAAAGCAATAGGACCGGATATCACCTAAGGAGAGTAGGTAGCAAAGAGGTCCAAGGGCAAAGGCTAAGGCACTCCAACATTTAGTTAGAAAGAAGACTCACTAAAGCAAAGCAAGGAGAAGTGGCTAGTGAGACAGAAAAACCAAGTGTGTGCAGTTTTAGAGGCTTACTGAAGAGAACATCTGAACAAGATGGCCAAATGCTATCAATTATAAATTGTAAAAGTTATTTCTGATTATTTAATTGGTTTCTCTCTTTTACCCAGACTGGAAGCTCCTAGAGGCTAGCACTCGTCTGATCTTGTTCATCATAATATCTAACACAGCAGCTTATATATGAATGCAGTGTTGTGATTTATAAGAAATAAGTTTGGTCAACTGCATAATCAAAATATATTTTTTATATATATTTGGTATTTGTCCACAGTTGCTGGGTAACAGGTCCCCAAACGCTTAAAATTTCCTGAGAGAAAAGAACAATAGGAGTACCTTTTGTTATAATATTTGATCTGTAGTCCCAAGTTCCTGAAACCATGTCAGAGCCATAAAGGTAAAATGACTCTCTTTTTATTCGTAACAAGCCCCTTTCCACCACCACTGAGTTTTTGTTAATGAGGTGACTTTTGGAAAGCACCTATGGATAGGGGCTGGTCACGAAAGGAACCAACCCTGTGACTAGAGAGTTGGAACTTTCCTATCCTATGGCCTCCAGTAAAGAGGAGAGGGGCTAGAAGATGAATCAATCACCAATGGTGAATGATTTAATCAATTGTGCCTACATAAAGAAGCCGCCACAAAAACCCAAAAGGATGGGGTTTGGAGAGCTCCTGGTTGATACACATAATGGAGGCGCTGAGAGTGATGCCCTCGGAGAGGGCTTGGAGGCTCCACACCCTTTCCTCATACCTTGCCCTATGCGTCTTCTCCATCTGGCTGTTTTGAAATTATACCCTTTGTAATGAATCAGTAATCTGGTGAGAAAACTGGTTTCCCAAGTCCTGTGAGCCCTTCTAGGAAATTAATCAAACCCAAGGAAGATGTTGTAGGAACCTCTGAATTACAGTCATAGGTCAGTCAGAAGTACAGGTGACAACCAGGACTTGGGATTGACATCTGAAGTGGAGGGTGGTCTTCTGGGATTGAGTCCTTAACCTGTGGAATTTGATGCCATCTATCTCTGGGGGGATAGTGTCAAAAGTGAGTTGAATTGCAGGAGACCCAGCTGGTGCCCAGAGAATTGCCTGGTGATGATGGCAGGGAACCTATGTAAGAATTATGAGTGCAGAACCTTTAGTGACTCTAAAAACATTTTGAGAACAAACACATGCGAGAATATCTATTGCAAGATTCCCAAAAGGAAAAAAAAAAAAATAAATGGAGAAAAGGAAACTAAAAAGATCAAAGGAACTGGAAAAGGCATGGTTACAAAACCTGGGAATTTTTGTTTTGGTCATATTTTTGTTGACTTAAGTTACCTATGTTATAGCATAGATTTCCCCAAATTGTCAAAGTTAGAGGGCTACAGAAAACACACAAGAAAGGAGGATGGATTAAGACCCAGCATATGGGAACAGAAGTCGCAGATCTTGAAGTCCTCTCTCCTGACTCGGGAAATGGAGGTTCTTGCAGAGCGGGCTGCATGCCTCCTGAAAGAGGGAGTCCCTACCCAGGAGGCAGCGCCTGCCTTGCTGTGTGAGCACTTAGACGGCTGCCACTAAGCGCACTGCCCAGACTGGGCTGCCAAGGGAATGATCCTAAGCAGTTTGTATGCCAGATGTCCTTTTACTATGAATTATTTTCTTACATTTACCATAGTATTAGCGTATGTCTTAGAAATTGTAGCATATGCCGCTGGGCCTCAGATAAAAAAAAGTTTGTTACTAAGATGGTGATAAAAGAGACCAGCAGCAGAAGGCAGAAGGATGGGAAGCACAGAACAAAAGAAACAGAGAGACCCTCCCTGGTCCTCTAATTTATGGGAGGTTCCCCCTTGTTTCTAGCTCAAACTGATTGTTTTGTTTCCCTAACAGCCCAGCTATGCCTTCTGAGAAATGTAACTCCAATGTCATCAGAGTCAGGGGAATCCTAAAACAGCTAAGTCCCCTGAAGCAAGAGACAAGCCTGCTGCATTTTGATGTAACCTCTGTTTAGACAGTCCCATTCCTAAATCTAGAAAGAGATTAACAGGAATAATAAGAAGCTTGGTCAGCTGTGGATTTCCTCTCTATTGTATCCTCTGATTTCAGCAGTGTTGTGGCACATTGTATGAACTGCCTGCTCGACACATTTTAGTTTCAGGCTCCCACCATTGTGGATATTTATGGGTTTTATTAGTCTTCTCAACTTGCTAAACAATGCTTAACATAACTGGGACACTCTAATAAAGATACTTTTATGTTCTTATGTCAGGATCACATGATTCTACTAATTGCTGACAAAGATTTCAAATAATTCTTCATATAACTTTTTAGTTCTTTCCCTGCAGTTTTATGAACCAGTCATGTTAGTATTTATTTCACAGTGGCTGCTGTATTTGTGGCCACCTCTCCAAAGAAGGCAAGATGGTGAAAAACGACCAGAGCTTCGGCTTTTTTGAATGAGCCAGAAATTGGGTTCAGGCACCACTTCCAGCAGCACGAGTTTTCCCAGGCAACGGGTCTAAACTAAATCTCCATAAAACGGGAATAATAACACTACCCCGGTACTACTGTGACACTGCTGGGTGTCCTTACTGTGACAATCATGTGCAAACGCACCAAGGGTTCTTCTTTATCCAATCTGATACTATCTTAGTTTCCTATTAACTAGTAACTGTGTCACCTACCAGTGTAGTCTAGGTGTGGAATTCAAGGTTAAGATCTCCCTACACACTCCTCAGAGACATGTTCCTTTCTCAAAACACATTTAAAAGGATTGTTTAAATTATAAGGTGGCCACAACAGAACTGAATGTTTCTAATCACTACCTACATTTCTGAAACTGTTGGTCCAGCATTTTTTTTTACTTTTAATCTAAAATAAAAATTCACAGAAAATTACAAAAATAGTACAGAGAAATCCTCTTCACCCGCCGTGCTCCAATAGTAACACCTTAAACAGCTAGACTGCAGTATCAAAACCAGCAAAGTGACACGGGTACAATCCACAGAGCTTATCAAATTTCACCAGTTTTACATGCCCTCATGTGCGTATGTATGTGTTTCCGTGTGCATGTATATAAATCCATAGAATTTTATTGACCTGCGGAGATTCGTGGCCCAGCATCTTTTTTTCTCTTACGGTTGCTATACTGTTTCAGAATCTAATAATAAAAACGTTTTCATAATAAGATCTCTGTTTCAATCTTGGCTATAATTCTGATAGCTTCACCTAGTTTAGTTTAACAGATAGAAAACAGTATTTATGCACTGACAAGTTGATTTTTCTTAGATTTCCTTAGTAGGAGACTGTTAGGCAAACTAGGATTCAGTTCAATTTTCCTGACATTTGTTGAAAATTTAGGTGCCAGGCACAGTGCAAGGACAGTGTGGGATAAAAAAAAAGAAGACATGGTTGTACTTCCAGGACTTAAAAGCCAGCTGGGAAGACACCCTTGTATATAAATACGAAGTACTGATAAACTTGGATGTCATTTCCCAAAACACCATAACACTTTCCAAAAGCAAGTGTCACCCATTATTCTAATTGAGACATGAATAAAAGATTCCTGGTAAAGAGCAAAACAGCTCCTCTCTCTACATCTGCTGTCAGAGCAAGCAATAGCAGGCTACTGGATGAGGTATTAGCCATGTGCAACTTATTTTTTTTTAAGGTTATATTTATTTATTTGACAGAGAGAGAGAGAGAGAGAGCACAAGCATGGGGAGCAGCAGGCAGAGGGAGAAGCAAACTCCCCGCTGAGCAAGGAACCCAATGCAGGACTTGATCCCAGGACCCTAGGAGCATAACCTGAGCCAAAGGCAGACGCTTAACTGACTCAGTCACCCAGGCACCCCTCACAATAGTCTTCTTTAGATTATAGACAGAATTAAGTGGTGAATGTGATAAAAAAATTTTTATTTGCTCAACTCTTATACTCCTGTGCAAACTCGATCAATAAAAAAATTTTTGCACCTAAGGTGGGAAAGTTGGAACATTTTCCAGCTCTTCCTGAATCTAGTATTATAGCTTTAATTTCATTATTTTAAGCAATATGAGCTCTGTGCATTTCAGAAATACCTATGAAATGTAAATATAAGAACACGCTCCAAAACACCTTGTATTTTCTCCATTTGTAAGAGTCTCTAGTTATTAACACAAATTGCCACATAGGAAAGAAGGTGATAGGCTCACCCACTTAAGGTCTCTAAGGACCAAAGACTATATGCTGTCTCTCTGCTTTATATCCTGTTTATATTTATACAAAAGCTGCCATTTCACACAGAAATAGTTAATATATATGAATATGTTCACTGTGCTTTGCTGGTCTTCTGACTGGGCAAACTGACAATGTTGTAGAATGTAAAAACTTTCTTTAACAGTAAAGTCTATGTGTTGTACTTTGCGGGTAAAAATGATAAACTAATACATCATTTTTACAGGCACAGCTCAGAGATACTACAGGCTGGGTTCCAGACCACCACAATAAGGCAAATATTGCAATAAAGTGAGTCAAATGACTTTTTTGGTGTCCCAGTACATATAAAAGTTATGTTTACACTATACTGAACAATAGTATTAAGTGTACAATAGTTTTATGTTGTACACTAAGAAAACAATATACATGCCTTAATTGAAAATACTTTATTGCTAAAAGATCCTAACCATCACCTCAGCTTTCATTAATTAAGTGTAATCTTTTTGCTGCTAGAGGGTCTTGCCTTAATGCTGATGGCTGCGGACTACCCAGGGTGGTTGCTGATAAACACAGGGGGTGGCTGTGGCAATTTCTTAAAATAAGGCAATAATGACTCTGCCACACTGATTGACTATTCCTTTCACAAGTGATTTCTCTGTTCCACGTGACGCTGTTTGACAGCATTTTACCTACAGAACTTCTTTCAAAACTGGAGTCAACCCTCTCAAACTCTGTCACAGCTTTCTCAGCTAAGTTTATGGAATAGTCTAAGTCATTTGTAGTCATTTCAATAATCTTCAGAGCATCTTCACCAGGAGTGGATTCCATCTCAAGAAGCTATTTTTTCTGCTCAGCCACAGAAGCAACTGGTCATCCATTACAGTTTTATCATGAGCTGGCGGCAACTCAGTCATATCTTCAGGCTCCACTTCCTATTCTAGTTCTCCTGCTATTCCCACCACATCTTCAGTTAGTTCCTCCACTGAAGTCTTAAAGCCCTCAAAGTCATCCAAGAGGTTGAGAAGTTCTTCCAGACTCCTCTGTTAGTGATAATATTTTGACTTCTTCCCAAGAATCACTAATGTTCTTAATGACATCTAGAATGGTAAATCCTTTCCAGAAAGTTTTCAATTTAGTTTGCCCAGAGCTATCAGAGGAATCACTGTCTACAGCACCAACTGCCTTATAAAATGTATTTCTTAAACAGTGAGACTTGAAAGCTGAAATGACATCTTGACCCATGGCTGCAGAATGGAAGCAGTGGTGAGCAGGCATGAAAACAACATTAATCTCATCGTACATCTCCAACAGAGCTCTTGGGTGACCAGGTGCATGGTCAGTGTGCACTCATCTTTTGAAAGGAATCTTTTTTTTCTGAGCAGTAGGTCCTAACAATGGGCTTAAAATAAACCATGTTGTAAACAGATGTGCTGTCATCTGGGTATTGTTGTCCCATTTAGAGAGCACAGACAGAGTAGATTTAGCATAATTTGTAAGGGCCCTAAGATTTTCAGAGTGGTAAATGATCACTGGTTTCAGCTTCAAGTCACCGGCCATAGTAACTTCTAACCAGAGAGTCAATCTGTCCCTTGAAGCTTTGAAGCCAGGCACTGACTTCTCCTATCTAGCTAGGAAAATCCTAGATGGCTCTTCTTCCAATAGAAGGCTGTTTTGTCTACACTGAAAATCCGTTGTTTAGTGTAGTAGCCACCTTCAGAAGCTAGATCTTCTGAATAACTTGCTGCCTCACCTTGTACTTTTATGTTACAATGAAGGCTTCTTTCCTTAAACTTCATGAACCAACCTCTGCTAGCTTCAAACTTTTCTTTGGAAACTTCCTAATCTCTCTTAGCCTTCGCAGAATTTAAGAGTCAGGACCTTGTTCTGGATTAGGCTTTGGCTTCAGGGAATGCTGTGGCTGGTCTGATTTTCTATTAAGACCACTAAAAGGGGCGCCTGGGTGGCTCAGTGGGTTAAGCCTCTGCCTTCGGCTCAGGTCATGATCTCAGGGTCCTTGGATTGAGCCCCGAATCGGGCTCTCTGCTCAGCAGGGAGCCTGCTTCCTCCTCTCTCTCTGCCTGCCTCTCTGCCTACTTGTGATCTCTCTCTGTCAAATAAATAAAATCTTTAAAAAAAAAAAAAGACCACTAAAACTTTCTCCATATCAGCAACAAGGCTGTTTTGCTTTCTAATCACTCATATGTTCACTAGAGTAGCATTTCTAATTTCCTTCAAGAACTTACCGTTTGCATTCACAACTTGACTAACTATTTGGCACAAGAGGCCTAGCTATCAGCCTATCTTGGTTTTGGCATGCCTTCCTCACAAGTTTAATCATTTCTAGAAAGGTTTTGATTTAATGTGATAGACATGAAACTCTTATTTTCACTTGAACACTTAGAGGTCACTGTAGGATTATTAACTGACCTAATTTCAAGATTATTGTGTTTCAAGGGATAAGGAGGCTGACGGAGAGGGAGAGACAGGAAATGGCTGGTCAGTGGAGCAGTGAGAATGCACACAACATTTATAGATTAAGTTTTCCATTACATGGGTAGGGTTCATGGCACCCCAAGACAATTATAGTAGTAAACATCAAAGATCACTGATTAGAGATCACTTTACAAATGTAACAATAACAAAAAAGTTTGAAATATTTCAAAAACTATCAAAATGTGACACAGAAACATGAAATAAGTAAATGCTGTTGGAAAAAATGGTGCTGATGGACTCGCCCAATGCAAGGTTGCCACAATTTGTAAAAAACACAACATGTGCAAAGTGCAATGAAATGATGTATGCCTGTTTTAACCTATGTGTGGCTTCATTTACGTCTTCAGAGGTAGTAATTATTTTGCATTAAGCTCCAACTCCTCCCTGAAAGCAACAGAATCTTCTGAAATATATAGTTGGTTGGGGTTAAGGGTGCAATTTGTGGTAAACCTACTCAAGGCCTTATGAATGGACACCCTAAGGAAATGATTCACTGACCACAGATAAAATGGAGCCAATAATCTTCACTGACTTTGTTCCATAGCATATTAACATATGATATTACAGCCCTTAAGCCCTTGACAGATACATTACCCAGCTGGATATTTTCTTCTGATCAACAAATTAGCTACCGGATTTACATAATTTGGACCATCAGCAGTTTTATACACCAAATGAATCACAGCAGGAACAGTAACATCTGTTCAATAATAAACAAACCTAAAACTCTAATGAAGTATGCCCACCCAAAATGGAGGAAACACACAGACACACACACACACACACACACACACACACACACACACACATTGTCCTCATCAGTCAATTTTACCACATTTCTCAGGATGTATTAAAATATCATTCTAGGGACCTTCCATACTCATGTACAATATAAAATAAGTGAAGATAAAGACTAAATGAGAGAAGAATTAACCCACAGAACTCAAAAAGATGATTACCTGGTAGTCTGGTTTTGTAAAATAATCCAAAGAGGAGATGTGATCCAAAAAGATGCTGAATTCTGGAGGGAGATGTTTCAACATAAGCCTGTGGTCATACCTCTCCTTAATAGAACCTACTTGCTCCTGGGAAGTAAAGAGAAGAGGAACCAAAGTCAATTTCTCTTGGCAGCTACACATTAACAGCCTCTCAGTAACAGTCTCAAGGGTATGTACTAGGGAATGAGATAGTGAGTAATTAAGTATAAAGCAAGATCTGAGCTCCGACTAATAGCTTAATGTACACTGCTTTATGGGGGGAGGGAGGACTGTAATGAATAACCAAAAGGGTAACACAAGAGTTCTGCATCAGTGAATGGACAGTCTGCCAAATAAAGAGTTGATCTTCAATCTAGTCTATTTTTTTTAATCAACACATGTTTACAGTTTCCAATTAAACAAAATAATGTAACAATTAAAATTTAAAAGCTTACATGACTTATAAAAAGAAAAGAGGAGAACTAGGGAAAAGAAAAGCTCTGAGGGAAAGCTAGAAATCAGATCAGAAGCAATGATTTAACAGATCCTTAAATGAGTATTCTTCATGTACGTAGAAAAAAATCATAACATTAATTAGATCTTTAATATCAGCTTAATTTTAGTTCTTTTATGTAAGTATATTCTCATCCATTATGTCTACCCGGGAGAAAATTTTATTCCTTCCCTTACCAAAACTGTTATTTCCACTTCCATTTCCAAAATTACCTTGTCCTTTATTTTTCTCCAAGGCAGCTGACCAACCACAAACTCCACCAACATGTAGAATAAGGACCAAAGGTCATCATGTCTTCCCATTTCCTTCATAAGCCAAAGAGAATTCAGTCACATTATGTAACTACTCCTTTTGAGTATATTACATTGTCTAAGGACTAACCACTGTGTTTCGTCTTATTAGGCTTAAAAATTGTAATGTATTTCGCATAAAATCTTCTGGTAAATATATCTACATAGCTATATAACAATCTATAACAATGTACATATCAGAATAGATATAATAAAATACTTTTTGCTACAAAGAACAACCCAAAACCCAGAAATGCTGGAAATATAATTAACAGCTCTTTAATTAATAAATGAGTTCATTAAGAAGGGAAAGTGGTTGCCAAGAGCTGAGGGAAAGGGGAAGGGTGAATTAGCATTTAACAGGTATGGAGTTTCACTGCTGCAAAATGAAAAAAGTTCCAGGGGCGCTTGGGTGGCTCAGTGGGTTAAAGCCTCTGCCTTCGGCTCAGGTCATGATCCCAGGGTCCTGGGATCGAGCCCCACATTGGGCTCTCCGCTCAGTGGAAGCCTGCTTCTCTTCCTCTCTCTCTCTCTGCCTTCCCCTCTGCCTACTTGTGATCTCTGGCTGTCAAATAAATAAATAAAATCGTTTTAAAAAAATGAAAAAAGTTCTAGAACCCTGTTGCACACTAATATGAATATACTTAACACTGCTGAACTGTGAGCTTAAAAATGGTTAATGTGGATGGCAGCTACACTGGTGAGCAAAGCATAATATACAGAGTTGTTGTATCACTGTGTTGTACACCCAAAACTATTGTTACACTGTGTGTCAACTATACTAAAAGAAAGAAAGAATGAATGAATGAATATGGCTAACATGGTAAATTTAATGTGATAATGTTTTTTATCACAATAATAAATAAAGAAAGCAAATTCTAGGAGCCAAAATTAAAGAGAAAGCTGGAAACAAGAGAAGCAAGCTGATGCGGAAGCTTTGGTTTTAGGGGCCTCTGTTACAGGTTTTGTCAACCAGGGTTTTAACAGTGAGGAAAGGGAAAGGTGTGAAAGCACTGAGCCTACACAAGACAGGAGTTGTAACTGAGACACCTTCTCTTAGGCCCTCACCAAACACCTTGGACCCTCTCAGGGCTATCTCTACTACAATATCTGGTATATACATTATACTACAGTAATTGTTTTTTCAGTAAAATTTAACCACTATCAAAAGGATAAAGTAAGCGATTAAAAACATTGCCCCCCCAAAAAAACATTGCCCTGAAAATTTGTGGTGACAGACCTGCCCCTCACTCAGATTTGGGATTTAAATTTATACCACTTGTGTGGTTTGGGAAACAAAATCTAGAAATTTTTTTCTGGGTGAACATGTCCTGTAGTAATGACAAATGCAAATGAAAATCCTCTCAAGATAAAAGTAACTTTATTTATTTTTTTTAAGATTTTATTTATTTATTTGACAGAGAGATCACAAGTAGGCAGAGAGGCAGGCAGAGAGAGGAGGAAGCAGGCTCCCTGCTGAGCAGAGAGCCCGATGCGGGGCTCGATCCCAGGACTCTGAGATCATGACCTGAGCCAAAGGCAGCGGCTTAACCCACTGAGCCACCCAGGCGCCCCTAAAAGCACCTTTAAATTCAGGCCTCAGAGAAGTCCTTATAGACAAAGACCCACCAAATATAAGCTGCTTATTCAGAAGTATAAAATACATTAAGAAGCAAGCTATCATAAGCTAATGGCAAGAGAAATTATAGAGTAGAATTAGATATCCAAGAATTCCAGATATGGAATTATAGGATAAAGAATACAAAATTAAAATGTTTAAAATGCTTAAGCAACAGGCACCTAGGTGGCTCAGTCACTAAGCATCTGCCTTTGGCTCAAGTCATGATCTCAGGGTCCTGGGATCGAGCCCCACATCAGGCTACTTGCTCTGTGGGGAGCCTGCTTCTCCCTCTCCCACACCCCCTGCTTGTGTTCTCTCTCTCGTTGTGTCTCTCTGTGTCAAATAAATAAAGTCTTTTAAAAAAATGCTTAAGCAAAAAATTGAATCAAACTCATAAGATAGGAACCATATCCTATCTAAAAAAAATAAAAAGACCAGTTTGATTTCAAAAAGAACCAAAAAGAACATCTAGAAATTAAAAATTCAATGGCTAGGTTAGAAAGCTGGTCAAAAACAGCAAAAAAAAAAAAAAAAAAAAAAAAAAATTAATGAACAGGAAGACAGATCCGAAGAAATTATCTAGAACACAACACAGAGACACAAGAGAAAATCTGAGAGTGAATTTCAGAGGCATGGAAGACAGAACAAGAAGATCTAACATACATCAATTTGAGATATGAAAAAAGAGGTATTAAAAAGAAAGGGGGGAAAGGCAATATTTAAAGAAGAAATGTCTGAGAATCTTCCAGAATCTATGAAAGATGTGAATGTTCAGATTTAGGATGCACAACAAATCCCAAACTGAATAATTATAAAGAAATCCATGTGTAGGCACATTCTAACTTATCTGTAAAACAGCAAAGACAAAAAGCAGATATCTAAAACGTCAAAGAACAAGGATAAATTAAATGCAAAATAACAATTAAATGAACAAAGATCTTCTGAATAGCAACCACAGAACCAGAAGACAGAATTTCTTCAAATTACTGAGACAAAACAAATATTAATAAAGGACTGAAATGTAGGACAACAATGTAGTGAACAGAGTTCAAGTAGTATGAAAAGTCCTATACTGTCTGGGAATCATTCCTGTTAAAAGTTGAAGATTAAAATATCCAAAAAAAAAAAAATGAAATGGAGTATATTTTTACTTTTTTTAAATTTGTGGAGATTTCTAAAAGTAAAAATATATTATCTTTCTACTAGATATTCTGGAAATGCTTATATAGCTATTATGATCTCTGGAAATGTTTATGCTTATTTCAGAAAAAGTGTCCTATTTCAAACATTCCAATGTGGACCAAAATTTTAAACAGAATTAATTAAAAAGCTTAGTAATTCTAAAGGTTTTTAAGAATATATCTGGAAAATAAGAGTACTTTCTTTTCAAGACAGAATAATTGACTAGATGCCTTATTTTTTTCTAAGTTTATTTATTTTTCGGTAATCTCTACACCCAACATGGGGCCCAAACTCACAACCCTGAGATCAAGTCACATGCTCTTCTGACTAAACCAGCCAGGCACGTACCCTAACTGGATGCCACAAATTAATACAACACTGAATCAAACCAAATGAGCTGAAATGCTTGACAGAGTGCTACATTATTCACTGATAAAAATACTTTTCCTATTTTCAATTTATAATCATATTATTAGAAACAAAATTAACCGGAGCATAACAGTGTACTCTTCCTACTATAGTTAGCATTAGTCAAATTTTCATTAAATTTCATTATTTTGGCTTCACAGAACAAGAGTAAGGTAAGATGAAGAAAAGATTTCTCTTTATTTTATGAGGGAACGACATGTTAAACTTCTCACCTCCAACCAGGGAAGTTCAAGGATTAAGAATCCACAAAATAGGGGCGCCTGGGTGGCTCAGTGGGTTAAGCCTCTGCCTTCGGCTCAGGTCATGATCCCAGGGTCCTGGGATCGAGCCCCGCATCGGGCTCTCTGCTCAGCAGGAAGCCTGCTTCCCCTCCTCTCTCTCTCTCTGCCTGCCTCTCTGCCTACTTGTGATCTCTCTTTCTGTCGAATAAATAAATAAAATATTAAAAAAAAAAAGAATCCACAAAATACCCAACTTTCCTACTCATAATTAAGGTTCAGAATGGGGGAAAAAAAAAATCAGAGAAGAACAAAAGGAGCAAAGTAAAAAAAAAAAAAAAAAAAGAAAGAGAGAAAGAGAGACTTTAAAAAGTTTACCCAAGAGGTATCATTTCCCAGAAAATTTGAAAGTAGTTTGTACTTGAGATCTTCATGAAAAGAAAAGGTTTAATGGAGAGGGGATACCACAGATTAGATGCATACTACAGATAAAATGATGACCCCTATATTTCAAGGTATTGTAAGTATGATATTCCCTAATAACTTCTTAAGATTAGAATGCAGGTGTTTTACTTCTTCAAAATTCTGTATCAGATTTGTTAATACTTATACCTAATTAAGGACACAAGGTTCCCTACACACACATACACACACTCTTAGCTATTATCTTCTCTGGCAAATACACTTTATTTTTTATGTAGCTGTACACATCTATCATCTACTATACATACTACGGTACATTGGTATTACTAACACCTTACTCTCTGCTCCCAAGCACCTTCCATACTTGTGTATCTAATGTAAAAAAGTCAATCTCATTCAAGTAATCAGCATGCTTATATAGATATGACTAGTTCAGATACCTACCCTGTTTCGATGAGCGTTGATTGATGCATAACGAACTGTCCCTCGAAAGCCTGCCACAGTTCGAGGCTACAACACCACCAAGAAAAGAGTGATAAAATGAGCTCCAAATAGCAAAAGACTCAGCACACCCAAACCCATTAAGTAGAAGGGAGAAACATGCATTACTGTCACAATAAAATACTACTTAAATTTCTAATTTTTTTATTGCAAAATTACAGAAAATTAGAGAGTATCTCTAAATCATGTTAAAAAACTACTAGCATTTTAATTATCAGGGAGTCCCATTTTTTTGTACCTGCATTTTAAAGTAAAGCAGCATTTATGACAAATTCTGTACATTAGAAAACACTAAATACTTTCATATATCCAGAATCATGCCAAGCATTGTAGTACATACACTAATATTCAGGCTCTGGTTACATTTAAGCACAGTAAGACCATAAGGAGTCTGCAAGTAAAGATGTCAACCTATGTCTTGGCTATTTCACTCAAACTCGACTTGAAGACAATGGCAACTTATATCCCTCCCTATACGTGCAATTCATATATTCATAAATCAAGTTACTGGGTAACTATTACATGCTAGGTACTAAAATAATCCAAACATGAATAATACATGATCCCAGTTCTTGGAGAGCTCAACTTAGAATAAAGTCCAAACTTTTCTTATTTGGCCTACAAGAGTTCCATGATTTGGCACTGGCCTCATTCCCAAACAGATTTACTTACAGTTTCTCCTACAACCAACTGTGTACCTAGCTTATTCTGCTATTCTCTCCAGTGAAAAGCCGACACTTTACCTTCAATGGCTAACTCTTCTACCCAACACCAAGTCCTCTGCTCAAATGTCCCCTCCTCAGAGAAGTACTCCTTAATCGACCTAATCTAAAATACTACCCACCCCCTTCAATGCCACTCCATTCTTTTTTACTCTGCTTTATTTTTTTCCTCATAATATCTTTCCTTACCTAAAATTAATTTTATTTAGACTTTTACTTATTTGTTCACTGCCTATTTTATTTCATTGAAATATAGACTCTGTGATGGCACGGTCTTGGTTTGCTCATTTCACAGACACAGAAACAGGCTCTGAGAAGTAACTAAATTTATCTGAACACACAGAATCAGTAGGTGATAAAACAAGCATCAACCAAGGTCTTCTGACTTAAAATCATACACTGTTTCCACTCTACTGCTTCACAAGGATCAAGTCAGTATCCCAAAGACTCAATATGAAAACTTGACAAACCTGAAAATGACCACAGCCAATAAATAACTTCCATTAGTAGAGGTTTTTCCCCCAGTAACCGTTAATTATCTTCAATTAAGACGTGTTACTGTTATAATCAGAAAAAGAGTATAATAAATGTTCTTTTAAAAATCTTTAGCTACCAGAATCATTCTGGTCATATGCTGTAAGATAGACATTCTATGTGTTTTTCCTTTGATCATTTTTGTAACATATGTGTTATCTTTTCAAATTAGTTTTCCATTTATTTATTGTTTCATGAAATTCTGTCTTCTCTTTTTAAAAATTTTCATTCCATTTCATTTTTAAATAAGCTCCACGCCCAGTATGGGGCTTGAACCCACGACCCCAAGATCAAGAGTCACATACTCTACTGACTGAGCCAACCAAGTGCCCTTCTCTTTCCATTTTAATTACTCCTTTTTGTTTTTGTCTTAAGATTTAACAATTTTAAAAATATTCTTGGGGCACCTGGGTGGCTCAGAGGTTAAGCCTCTGCCTTCAGTTCAGGTCATGATCCCAGGATCCTGGGATCGAGCCCCGCCATCAGGCTCTCTGCTCGGCAGGGAGCCTGCTTCCCCCCGACCCCCCGCCTGCTGCTCTGCCTACTTGTGATCTCTCTCTGTCAAATAAATAAATAAAATCTTCAAAAAAAATTCTTTGTATTTAATAACTCTCATTAATCAAAAGTTCCTGTGATATATTTAAATCCCTTTTCTCACCTGCCATTCATTGACAATCATAGTCAGTAGATCTCAATATTTTCCTACAATATCACAACTAACAGGAATAGCTAATATTCTCAATTTGATGGAACTCTGAGATCAGAGATTTCTTTTCTAGACAAAGAATGTATAAGATTATACATGAAAGCCTATCAACTCTATTCAGTAAATAACATTTCACTGGTTGTACTTTTATTCATTACCTGACAAGAGCATTCACTAACAAAAATGTTTTAATAGCATGTACTTTTTCCCAGTTATTTTCACTCCAGTAACTATCAGGATAAAAATCTCCAGAGCTATTACCACACTCTGCAATCCAGTCCACAGTTAATTGGACACCTAGATGTCCCCCTGATAGATTCTAGCCAAGACAAACCCAGGAGACTCTTTCCAGTTAAGAGTACCCCTGACTTTGCTTCTGCCATGGAAAGGTTGGGCCAGAGAGAAAAAGAGATCAGCTGTTTAGAAAGATCTTGATGTGATTCATCAAAGAAATTATGCCAGGTCAAGAAAATTCAGCCATCTTATATAAAGCAGAAAAGAAAACTCAACCCACCTGGGAAAAATAGCCATATATAGAACTACTTCTAATTTAAAGCAGATTATAATTAAGATCATTAGCAAAGTACAATAAGCTATGAAAGCCTAGGAATGGAAAGCATTAGTTCCATTTGGTGAGAGGGGAGAAGGCAAAGTCCTGCTGAAGAAGAAATAATCTTAAGAATAAGCAACATTTAATGGGGCCTTAAAATAGATGATCTCTTGACTGTCCAGGAAAAGCTCTCAGTTTTTCCCCACTGAGGATAATATTAGCTGTGGGTCTTTCATACACGACCTTCATGATGTTGAGGTATGTCCCTTCGTTATGTACTTTGTTGAGGGTTTTTTAATCAAGAATGGATACTGTGTATTGTCAAATGCTTTTTCTGCATCTATTGAGAGGACCACATGGTTGTTATCCTATTTTTTAAAAATTTTTTTATTTATTTTTTTAATTTTTTAAATTTATTTTCAGCATAACAGTATTCATTGTTTTTGCACCACACCCAGTGCTCCATGCAATCCGTGCCCTCTCCAATACCCACCACCTGGTTCCCCCAACCTCCCAGCCCCCGCCCCTTCAAAACCCTCAGATTGTTTTTCAGAGTCCATAGTCTCTCATGGTTCACCTCCCCTTCCAATTCCCCTCAACTCCCTTCTCCTCTCTAACACCCCTTGTCGTCCATGCTATTTGTTATGCTCCAAAAATAAGTGAAACCATATGATAATTGACTCTCTCTGCTTGACTTATTTCACTCAGCATAATCTCCTATTATATTTTTAAAGATACTATTTATTTAAGAGAGAGAGCACAAGCAGGGGGAGGGGTAGAGGGAGAAGGACAAGCAGACTCCCCACTGAGCACAGAGCCCAATGCAGGGCTCAATCCCAGGACCCTGAGATCATGACCTGAGACAAAATCGGAAGTCAGACACTTAACCAACTGAGCCATCCAGGCACCCACTTATTCTTTCTATTACTAATGTGGTGTATCAGACTGATTGATTTGTGAATACTGAGCCATCCCTAGAGCCCAAGAATAAATCTCACTTGGAGGTTCTTCAAAAAGTTAGAAAGAGTTACCCTATGACCCAGCAATTACCCTACTAGGTATTTACACAAAGGATACAAAAACACAGATTCAAAGGGTTACATGCACTCCAATTTTTATAGCAACACTATCAACAATAGCCAAACTATGGAAAGAGCCCAGATGTCCACTGAATAATGAATGGATAAAGATGATGTGGTGTATATACACAGTGGAATATTATACTTAGCCATCAAAAAGAATGAAATCTTGCCATTTGGAACAACTTGGATGGAGGTAGAGTGTATTATGCTAAGTGAAATAAGTCACTCAGAGGAAGACAAATACCATGACTTCACTCATATGTGGAATTTAAGAAACAAAACAGATCAACATATTGGATGGGTGAAAAAGAAAGATAGGGAAACAAACCATAAGAGACTTTTTTTTTAAAAGATTATATTTAGTTATTTGAGAGAAATAGAGTATGCATGAGAAGTGGAAAAGGAGAAGGAGAGGCAGAGAATCTCCACTTGATCTTAGCCCAAAGGCTGAGAAGTGTATGAGGCAGAGAATCTCAAATTGAGCTTGATCCCAATGACCCCAAGACCATGACCTGAGCCAAAACCAAGAGCTGGACATTCAACTGATTGAGCCACCCAGGCACCCCAACCATAAGAAACTCTTAAAGATATAATAAACCACGGGTTGATGGAAGGAGGTGGGTAGGGGATTAGCTAGATGGGTGGTGGGCATTAAGGAAGGCACTTGTTATGATGAGCACTTGGTGTTGTATGTAAGTGATGAACCACGGAATTCTACTCTTAAAACCAATACTGCACTGTACTGTTAACCAACTAAAATTTAAATAAAAATTTGAAAAAGAAAAAAACTAAGTGATCTCTTGAAACCTCCCTAACTAATGGCAATTGGGCAATATCTATCAAAACTTCAAAGGTACACATTCTCTTTGAAAAAGTCATGTCACTTCTGGAAGTTTATATTACATATATACTTGCATATGTGCAAAAATAACGGACATAATACATTCACTCACTACATTAATGTTTGTGATAGCAAAAGACTGAAAGTAATCCATATGTTCACAAATATGTTCAAAAATAGACTGATTAAATAAATTACAGTACATCCTTTAAACAGAATACACTTTGCAGCTTCACAAAAGAATGAAGACGCTCTATATCCTGACATGGAAAGATCTTGTACATACACTGTGGAAAAAAGACAAGTGCAGAATGTACATCATGCTACCTTTTAAATCAAAAAGAGAGAAATGAGAATATACATTCATCTATATTGCATATTCAAGAAGAAATTCTGGAAGAATACATTAAAGAAAAAACAAAAATATAGTTACCTAAAGGTCTGAAGAAGGCATAAGAGCAGTATAGAAAATGAATGTATTTGGGATAGCAGGGATGAAAGAGAGATTTGTTTCATTGCTTCTTACCATTTAGTTTTTTTCAAGTCAATTTTCAAGGTACAATGTATTCCTATC